GACATCCAGTGATATACAACAAAACTTTTAAAATGTTTACGGAAGCTTGCAATAGTAGTTTCCTCATGATAAGCCCCATTTAGAATAACAATAGAGGCATACGTAGGAGTTAACAGTTCAAAGACATCAATAAGATGAGTATTCAAGCTGCTAACATACATTAATAGAAACGAAATTTCAAATTTTTCACTTGCTATTTCGTAAGTTCGTTCCCGATGCTCTTCTCAACGTTGCAATAATGTTTCAGGTGTCATAGTGTATGTCCATTTAGTTAGCAATAATAATAATAATAAAAATGCGGCAGTTTATTTTAATTTGAAATGCACATACGTAAATTCAAAGATCACGGCAAAGACAAAAACACGGATCTTTTCCAGCATTTCGATTTCGATTTAAAAGATAATTATTATTCAGCAGAAGTAGCGATTATTAAAACCATCAATCGTCAGTGTAAAATGAACTTGACATATAGTCGTTATTCAACGTACAGCAATAAGAAGAGTTACCTACTCTATGCAAACTCATCTGTTGTAGTCAGTATGATTCGCTAAAAGATCCAGGGAAATGCCAGAAAAAAATATGTGATTTCGAATAAATATAGACATGCCAGAAGGATTACAACACGCTATTCTATCATTATATTAAATGTACCACTGCAATGGGATGTCAATCGGCTTGAAAATGAGTTAAAAATACAATATTCAACTGTAGTTAAAGTAGAACGGTTACTAATTAATGGTGAAAAAACAATACCAAAGGTACGTGTTGATTTTTTGGATAGTCAGGAGGGAACTGGAATCATGAAACTAAAACAAAGACAATCTTGTTGGACGAAAATAACATATCTTATGCAGTTGAATCGTATACTCTAACAATGAGAGTTCTGCGAATGTTACAACTGTCAACAATATAATGATCATATGTCCGAATTCAAGTAAGCCGGACTGTTTCAAATGCGGTCTGAATCATACATATAATCCAAACTACAACCACAGTTGAATATTGTATTTTTAACTCATTTTCAAGCTGATTGACATCCCATTGCTGTGATACATATAATATAATGATAGAATAGCGTGTTGTAATCGTCTTGGTCATGTCTGTTTCGTATTCTAAATCACATATTTTTGTGGCATTTCCCTGGATCTTTTAGCGAATCATACTGACTACAGTAGATGAGTTTGTATAGAGTAGGTAACTCTTCTTATTGCTGTACGTTGAATAACGACTATATGTCAAATTCATTTTACACCGACGATTGATGACACTTGCCACATGTACAAATGTACAAAAACGTGGTTGTATAGGTGTAATTATTACAATATGTATGATACAGTCAAACGAAAAGAAGAAAGAGGAGACGTCAGAATATCAGTACGCCGTGTACTCTGAAAATGATGTAAGTTTTATACAAACGTACATGGACTTGCTGGGTTTGGTGTATTCTATGCTTTATTCAGATGTATCTTAATTTCGAAGTTCCAGAAGACGTATGGAAATAGGAGGGGTTAGGTAGCATGAGAGTGAGGCACGAAACAACATTCCAAGACTATATATTTTATATTTCATGCTAGGAGGCTGGTGTACGTTTGTATAAAATGAATATCATTTTCAGAATAGACTGCATATTAATATTCTGAGACTCCTCGTTTCCTGTTTTCTTCTTCCTTTGACATCAGCAATTATAAGTTGCTTTTTTTATTTCTTGACTTGTACAACAAATTTAAGTAGTTGTACAAGTCAATTGCAAATGATATAGACTTGAGCATAAGTAAATTATTTGAAGTAATTTAAATTAGAACGTTAAATGACCTATGAGAGCTGAACGATTTCTTGTTGTGCTTCAAGCTATTTCGCTTAATACCAGTTTGACATTTCAGATTATCCCTGTTCGTGGTCTATTTGTGTCAAAAACGCAAGTGTATCACTTGGAACTAACTACTCAATTTGAGAGGTTATGAATCTGATAGAAGAAGCAATGAAATTTCAAAAATTCTGAGACTGAATGAATTTAGTTTTTTTTGTATGCCTCTTCCTGTTAGAGAGTAATACAATCAGCAATAAAATATTAAATTTTTCTAACAAATCTTGAAAGCTCTTTTCATTTTTTGGTTTAAAACTTTGCTTCGCAAATCTTGAGTGGATTTGGGTCAGTCTGTCACTGGATTTGAATACACAAACCTTTTTCGATGTTTGTAGATGAGGAAGATTCTGCTTTGTCGCTAGTTTTGATTAATATCTGGTTTTGATAGTTGCCTATATTGTTCATTAAATCGTTTTCGGACAAATTCATAGTATTCATATTCATAGTTTAACAATGATTTTAGTTTTTTTAATGTTTTGGTTGTCGGTTTGTCGCTTTCATATCCATTTGGTTGTTTATTCTCATGTGGTTCATGTTGTTTTTCATATTCTTTATGAATATTCTTAAAATATGTTGGAATTAAACGATGTAAAACATAAAGAAATTGTTCGAATTGTTCTGTTAAACCAATGGTTGTATAATGTTTATCAATATTCGATTTAGCTTTTTCCAACGCTTTTGAACTATTTAACTGCGAACAATATGATTCTTGACCACAGGAATAACCAATCAGATTTGATATACCATTTATTTTTGATATGCAATACGACGGGTTTAATGTATTACTTATAAAACAATTTTCCAACGATTGATTTAAGAGTCGTATATTCATACCGGTTGGACAATACTTTTTATCTAACTTGCATCGAGAACGCACATAATAATATTCTGATACTATTCGGTCAGCTGGATCACGTATCATACTTATATAAATTGGCTGTTTTTCATCGAATGGAACAAAATTAACATGTCGAATGAATATAGTAAAATTTTTTAAGCTATTTATTTGTTTAAAAAATGCTTTTCTTTCTTCCGCATTCATTATATATGTAAACCAAGGGGTCACTCTGGCCACAGGATATTTATATTTTTTACCTTGGGCAAAAAATAATCGTATTAATGTTGTACTACCTGATTTTTGCACACGAGTATATATTATACACGTTAATCGACCCTTAACTGTTGTTAAAGATGGGTATGTAATTGTTGCTAAAGACGGGTATGCAACCGCCCGTTTCAACTTTGTTAATGTTGCGGGTAGTTCATCGAATTTAAACAATATTGCTGCAGTCAGCACTGCAGCGAAAATGAACATTAAGAAAGGAAATTTATTTTGAACAAATCTTAACATGTATAACACTTTAAATGTGTATCAGAGAAGAAACATACAAAAACCTTGAGATTAACAGCGTGTACAGTTTTCGTCTTCCTGTTTCATTCTCAAAAATGAACAAAAAAGCGATAAATTTGAATTGTTTAAAATAGAAAAAATAAAGACCGTCAAATCACGCATGAGTAATTAACATAATACCAGATGTAAGACTCACCTGTGTGATGGTATTCGAAGTACGAACAAAGTATTATCGGATAAAGAGAAATAAAGGACATGCATAGGCATATGTAGCACATAAACAAGTTGCTTTAATCAACATACGACCTTGCACAAAGAAGGACATGTTTGTCCTTTTATCAGTACAGAAAAATAGTGTTTTAAGCTTGAACACTCTAGAACATACTCTTTGTGCATCTACTTGACATATCCCAAGCAAAAAAATAAGCTAGTCGCGCCCACTGCAGCTAGCTTCATCTATAAACTATTAATAAAAAAATGTAAATATATTGAAGCGGTTAGCGGGCGCTACAGTTCCCCTGGAAAATGTCAAGTTTGTCTGGTCTTGAAAACTTTTTTTTCTTGTTCTGCCCATGGGCAAAAAAAAAATGAAATTTACGAAAATTTTACACGTGTTCACTTGTAAAAGTTTTGTTTACGAACTGTTACACGTAAACCATGGTTTCTTTTACGAAACTGACGGAGACTTACATGTAAACTCCGTTAAAACAATACGTGTGTTTACCTGCAAACTTTTTTAACGAAGTTTCACAAGTAAACAGTCCTGAGAAAAAGTTTACGTATAAACACGTGTAATGTTTTAACCAAGTGCACGCGTAAACTGTCCTAAAATACACTCACACATAATTAGACGTAATTTTTACAAAGTTTTACTTGTAAGCCGCAGGAAATATATGTACGTGCAAAAATGTGTGAGCTTTGTATATACTTTTAAGACAATTAGTAACAACTGATTGTAACTTACTAACTATTGTATTACGCTAATAAGTAGTTTATATTCGAGCTCAGTCTAAACACAAAACAACAAATATTTTTGCTGTATAAAAAAGACACAGAAGAGCAAAGACGAGCAAAACAATCTTCTTCGTTTTTCCTCCATCATATTCCATACTATGTAGACCAATGGGAACACTCAAATGAACTCGATGTAAAGTACTAGATAAGCTTGCAAGCTTGAATAGCACTTTGATAATATTAATTTTCGATCCGACATGGTCATATACTAGCCGACTGCCAAACACAAGTTCTGATGTTCGAATCTCGAAGTTTTCAAGTAAGCAAAAAACTTATAGTGGTGTTCGACTGTGTGTATAGTCTGGTACCTATATTAGATCGATTAGTGAGAGTAAGGGTAGATTCGACAGATAAGTCAGTATGACGGAGTCGGACAAAATGTTTTTAGGAATTATAATATAATAGTACCTAATTAATCCAAAAAAGCATCATTTTTACACGTATTTACGTGCAAAAGAATTGCACGTAATTACGGTGTTAATAACGGCCATCTAACGGATAACTAGCCGTAATTAAGCTGGAGCTTACGGCGATGTTTCTGTGTGTTTACGTGTAAATTTTTCGTAAATGTGCTCCAATTTACGCACTTAATTCCACTTTTTTTACGAAAATTTTGCTCATGGGTGGTCAGAATTTGCCCGAATTATTATTGCTTAAATGGACCAATGATGTTACAGGCTTTCGCCGCCACATGTCAGTCACGTTTTATCTGTTTTCTCTTATTCACTTGTTAACTATTTTTCCATCCTTCTTTCGTCCAGCGGTATATATAATATGCGTTTCACGTGTTCTCCATCTATAAGAGTCTTTCTGCAAACATTTCTGGACATTGATGCTGTTAATAATCATTGTGATAGATATACTCTTGCCATGAAGCATTCAAAAGTCATTTAGGTTTACCTGATAAGCTGTTCAGTCTTCTGAACTGAAAGTAATAAAAATGATAATGATGAATAGAACAATAGAAAGCAGTATAATATTATAAACTTTGTTATCAGTTTGCTGTTCCAGAACAATATCTTTTACTGTTTTATAACGATACCAACTATTATCAGCTAAACAATAATAAACAATCTCTTTTTCAAAATCAACAGCAAACAACTGTGGACTAGATGGTAAACAATAATTGCGATCAACTACTTGTTGAAGAACACGATAATATTTTATATTTCGATTATATAGACCAGGACCATGTGAACATCGATACCAAAGTTCTTTACCATTTACTCGAATCGTTTCATTTGTCAATTGATTTATAAATGAAAATGAACACAAAGTGGGAGCCATATTCTCTTGTGCAACAAACTACAGTTTTTTCTAGAATGACGAAATCTATTTTTTAGAAATCAGGAGAAAAACAGGAGAGCATCAAGCAGTTTTTTTCTTAGACAAGCAAAATTCTCATTCCTAAAAACGCTTGTGGCTTTTATCTACCAAGTGAGTAATGAGAAGGTCTGTCTTACGAGCGAAACAAAGAAAAAGAGATAAAGTTAATCACATACAGTTTATCCTACTAGTATTTTCATAGCTGTTAACTTAACAATATAAACAAGACAGACACAAATATTTTTAAAGCAACTACAAGAACAAAAACAAAGCGCATAATGAAAACAAATTGTTTACTACAATTATAGTATAATTATAAAATTCTGAACAACCGAAGAAGGAAAAGAATTGAAAATCAGGAAAAATCAGGAGAAGAGTCTAAAAATCAGGAATCTCCAGGTGAAATCAGAAGATTTGGCCACCCTGGTTTTTTCAACGTACGAGTATAAAAGTGCATAAAAAACGTGAATATGGAATAAACATATACATAAAGGCACTACACTGGAAGAAAAAGAAAAACGTTTTTTCGAAAATATATATATATATATCACTAGTCGGCAATCAGTTCAGTCTGCAGAGCTGAATCAATTTTGCAATTTCATCAGAGACGAGTGTGAGTCTCTATTAGCTTAGAAAAAAACTGAAAGTTAGTTTTCATAAAAACTGTTTGATTTCTCACTCATTTCACAATTTTTGTGAAAACAAATGTTCAGTTTTTTCTAAGCTAATTGAGACTCACACTCATCCCTGGTAAGATTGCAAAACTGATCCAGCTCTGTAGGCTGAACTGATTGCTGACTAGTAATTTATATATTTTTGAAGAAACATTTTTCTTTTTCTTCCAGTATACTGCCTTTATGCGCATGTTTATTTCATATTCACATTTTTTATGCAATTATATAGTCGTTCGTTGAAAAAAAACTGTAGTTTGTTGCACAAGAGAATATGGCTCCCACTTTGTGTTCATTTTCATTTATAAATCAATTGACAAATGAAACGATTCGAGTAAATGGTAAAGAACTTTGGTATCGATGTTCACATGGTCCTGGTCTATATAATCGAAATATAAAATATTATCGTGTTCTTCAACAAGTAGTTGATCGCAATTATTGTTTACCATCTAGTCCACAGTTGTTTGCTGTTGATTTTGAAAAAGAGATTGTTTATTATTGTTTAGCTGATAATAGTTGGTATCGTTATAAAACAGTAAAAGATATTATTGTGGAACAGAAAACTGATAACAAAGTTTATAATATTATAATGCTTTTTATTATTCTATTCATCATTATCCCTTTAATTATTATCAGTTTAATGAAATCTCTCGCGTCATAATTTTGATATTTCGTAACTTTATCGAACATCATCAAAGGAATATATCATCGTTTTAAAAACATTTTAAATTCCTATGTAAGTCCTACTTTTAATGTGACTTTAAGTTGTGATTATAGTGCAAATAATTTGAACTCAACAGTGACAAACTGAATAAGATGTTGCACGTTGTGCACTGCTGTATCAGCGTGCGGATGTTACATATTTAATACCGCAACCAACAATTGTATTCTCAAAACTTCCACAAGTTCAGACGGTTTCAATTTTCCCTTCAAAATAGAACGTTTCTGGGTTGCGGTGGTTGCAATATGAGGGAGAACAGCTAGGTGTCAAAATTTAATAGCAGAAAAACATCGTTTTTAAGCTATTCACTACACAAATATGCGGTATCTTCTGTGACACCTCGCTTTTCTCACTCATTTCGCAATCCATGCAGCTCAGAAACGTTTCATTTTGGAGGAAAAAGTTTCTTCTACTCGAATCTATTATAAAAAAATCACCTACGTCTTTGCTTTCACAGCCAGACATGTGCGCCGACAAAAAATTTCGGCGGCGGCGAATGAAATTTTGTACATAGGCGGCGGCGCGAGGCTATGAAAATTTTCTCCACCTTCGGCGGCGGCGTGTAAAAATTGTTTATCGGCGGTGAATCCCCAATTTTAAGTAAAACGACGTTCTCTGTCATTTCTGGCACGATCTTCGTGCACCAATTGTATCTGTACGTTGTTGTATACGAAAAGATAAAAAAGCGCTGCACGCTAGATGCCTAAGCTACGAATGTACTGACAAAAATAGTAAGAGAACCCTGCGTCATACGCTTTAGGTAAAACCAACCAAAGTAAATGGCACACCCTGTGCTGCAAACAAACAAAGAAACAATGTATTCTTTTCACATTTCAATATGAAATACATAGAATATTCTATTCACCGCTCGATTATCACTTGGAAGAAAAAAAACGAATAACAAGTTCGACAAAACAAAATATCAAACAGCAGCTAGCACTATCTAATGAGCACTTTTGAATAAACCATAGTTATCATGGATGAACTGCATCTTTCCCACTTTGTCATTACTCAATCGTACAAAACGCAAAGAACAGAAGTAACTAAACGAACAAACCCACCAATAGAGTAAAAAATAAAAACTAACTGTCAGATTCCTTGACCGCTTCGATCAGCGTTAGCGAAGCTGATTAGGATCGATCTGCTAATCTTATATCCTCTGCATGGGTCAAGTACAAAACAATGTGATTAAAGTGAATACGTTAATATGAATATGTAGAAAGGAAAAGAAAATATGTAATGAAAAAAGATGACGCAATAATGATATCTCCAAACTGTGATATAAAATGTCCCCAATGGTGTTGCTACAACTTCAAGTTAAAAACAAACTTTACTGAAAATATCTATCCTTTATGCACAAAAATAAGAAAAGAAAAAAATACATACCTAAATGAAAAACAAAGAACTTCCAAATGACGAAAAATACGAATATAAGAGATAGTATCGAGTAGCGCAGATAAAATCGAACACTTTTGTTCGTTGTTTTTGATGCACTGTTCAGTGGTTTAAAGAGTTTCTTCTAAGCTTAATCACTAAAGAATTGAATTCTCTACAAAACCTGCTATTTGAAACTGTGATAGCATTTTTTCTCATTTGAGCACCATTCAAAATATTGAAGGGTGCTGAGTTGTCGAACTGCGACACACTGAAAATAGAAAAATATTTGCCTTGTTTCAAAAACAAATTCCATAAGAACTTTGAAATGATCAGAAGATTTACCGGAAATTCTACATCTTCTCATATATTTTTTGAAATTTTGCAGTTAAGTCTTCTCGGAAAATTTCTCTGCGCAAAAAACTGATAAATCTAAAAAAACCTAATTTTTCACA